TTTTTAATTACACTTTTAGAGAGAGAGAAAGAAAAATTGTTTTACTCTCTTACATTTTTTAACAGTTCTGTATCAATCACACGAGAAATCTATTTACTAATGTGAGATTATGAAATTTGACTCTGATGACTTGATATTGCTGGAAACTTGACGAAAATAATTAGTGTCATATGAGAAAAATTTAAGTTACTCTTAATGGTTATCAAAAATTTTTATCAATAATTTTTTTAGTATTTCAAATACAAAATAGATTGAAATTGTATTTGAAATACAAAATACAAAATACTTTTATGTGTTCCGCTGAAATACAAAATACAAAATACAAATTGTATTTCAAATACTGTATTTCAAATACAATTAGTATTTGAAATATGCCCAGCCCTGAATATAAGTTTTACAGAAAAGTGTTTCAGACAAAAGTTATATGGTTTAAAAATATCTATTTACTGATACTATCAGTAAATAGATATTTGACCTTGGGTTGCGTAGCCAAGGTCAGGTCAAGGTTACATAATTGATTTTCTTAAATGGAACACCCTATTATTGATTCAAGAATCTAATTTACCGATAGGATCAGTAAATAGATATTTTTAAACTATATAACTTTTGTCTGAAATACATTTTTTCTGTAAAACTTATATATTTCCCGAGATATTTAGATGTCCCGACCTTTTTGGGACACCCTGTATGTAGAAATCTGCAGCCCTTGTCTTGTCTAGTACCAAGTACTGCCTGGTGGTGACACTAGTGGTGACCCGAGTTGACCTGACCGGTAAAAATGTAGTACAGTTACTTGCGTCGCGATAATTTTTGTTACTTTCCAATAAATACGGAAACGATGGCCGTTTAACGGATTATTCCGTTGAGGTACGATGACACGCGTCACGTTTCTGCATCCCGATCTCGGCATCGGCGGCGCCGAGAGGCTCGTCGTCGACGCGGCTCTGGCGCTGAAGAAGAACGGCCACGATGTAAATTTCGTGACAACTCACCACGACCCGGAGCATTGTTTTTCGGAGACCAAGGACGGCACGATTCCCATCACCGTCGTGGGCAGTTGGCTGCCCAGGCACATCCTGGGCAGGTTTTACGCGCTCTGTGCTTACATACGCATGGTAAGAGGTTGTTGACATCAAAATAACAAGAAAGCAGGATTGGGTAATGGTTAGTTAAAAAGATAAAAGTTAAGTTAAAAAGTTAAGTAATTTTAACTTAACTTAGTTACATTTTAGGCTCTTAACTTTTAACTTAATTTAATTTGCATTTTATCGGTAACTATAATTAACTTTTGATCTAACTTTCTTGAAGTTACGTTTTTAGTGCTTTTTGTAAACCCAGAATAAAATACATGTCAAAGTTAGTGTCTTCAAACTCAAATTTGAAAACGTACATCAAGGCAATTGCAATAATATAATAAATACAGTCTGCCCGCGGGAAAGAATCACTGTTCACGGATCTTCTGTGCATTAAATCACGTTGGAAGAAGCCTTTCGAAATCGGTCCTCTTTCCGCGGCTCGACAGAAATAAGTATAACATATACATACTTTATTTAGAAACCCTACAATTATAAAATGAAAAAATTTAACTTACTTTTTAATTACTTTTTTTTATTAACTTAACTTTTAACTCTAATTTTGTTATGGACTAACTTGTATCTTAATTAACAAGGGAACCTCGCGAAGTGTCAAATTCTGATTTTAATGAAACTTGGTACACTTTGAGGTCACATAAATAAATGAATTTAGAAGTTATTAGTTGGTGCTAACAAATGGTTTAGAGAGATGAATCCACTCCTTATATGTAAATTAATTCTTTTTTTCTTTCGTTATATCTCGAAAACTATTCAAGATATCAAAAAATGTTGTATACAAAAGTTTTACAGTAAAATTGTCTTTATTCATTTACGTTA